TGAGACTGATAGGTTCATGCACCTACCATTTGAACATAATCCTAACCTGTTTCCTGGCTTTAGGAAAAGTTCCTTAGCATTTCTATGATTTATGTTAAAACTGGGTTTCTTAATAGTACCATGTGAATTTACTATTGAAAGTAGTTAGATTATTTAAGAAATCGTGTGATCAATACAATGTGGGGGGAAAAGGACTGGAAGACAACTGTTGACACCAGAGATAGTGTGAGAAGAGGGTGGGAAAGGACAGAGGGTCAGAAATTGGGGTAAAAAAAGGATATTAGAAACTAGAAATGGAAAATTTTTTATGGTAACATGCATGATTAAGCCACTATGCAGTATATTCTGGATGGGAAACCACATTTTATATACTGTGATGATGCTTAGGGAATGAATATAAATTAAGTTAAAAAAAAGTTTCAGAAAAAAAACTAAAATTGTTTTTCTTGAAATGAAAAAAAAAAAAGCATTAAAATACCTATTCGATGACTGCAGTAAGATATATAGCCCCAGCTAGGTGCTACTTTATAGGATGTTCATTCTACTCACTAAGGTTCATGCCTAAAGATGGATTTGTGTTCATGGATATGTATATATCAGCTGTGCTTGCTATTCAAAATATTTAGATTAATTAATACCTTTAGTGAATCAATAAAATGTGGGGCGAAAAAGGCATAGAAAGCCATCATAGATACCAGAGACAGTGTGGGAGGAGAGTGGGAGATGGCAGCGGGTGAGATAGGGAATCAAGGATGGGGAAAAAAAACAAAACATACAGGAAACAAGAAATGGAAAATTATTTGTTGACAATAACACATATGTTGATGTGCTTGATTGAGACAATATACAGTGTACTCTGGATGGAAAATCTCATTTTGTATGCTGTAATGATGTACAGTGAATGAATGTAAATAAATTTAAATAATAAAAAAATGAAAAAAAAGCTGTTGTAAACACCTTGTATATGTCTTCTGATGGACAAATCACAAACGGGTTTCTAAAATCTTGTATAACCTTTCTAGGGACATGTCATCCAATATATTTAAGGATCAAAGTTATAATTATTTTATACCTATGACTACAAATTACTAAAACTCTGCTTATATAATATATAATTCAATGACATAAGAAGTTAAACGTAAGTGATTCAGTAAGGGTAATAAGTATGTTATTTTCCTCACTAGCAGAAAAATACAGATATGACTATATCTGGATGTAATTATTAGCCATGATTACTATGTCCATTTCAACTTATATTTGAGTCAATGTGATAAAGCAACCACATATATGCTTTAGGAGTAGCAGATAGCTTCATTAAAAAGTAAATGACATTGGGGGAACCAGCAGTTAGCGTAATGGCTATGTCGCTGGACTCCCACATAGTCGACTGCAGTTTGCGTCCAGGACCCGGTGGCTTAAAACTCACGCCGGGCGTGTGTGCTTGTGTGCCCAAGATCCTGAGAGGAGAATGGAGGAGAAGGGATTGTGGTGTGACCATCCCCCCTGGGGGGTGATTTCTCACTTTCTGTCTCTATGTCTCTATCTGTCTGGCGAGCGCACGCACCCTATAGTGAAAATCTCCCCCCTCCCCCGCAAAAAAAAAAACTCTCCAAAAAAAAAAAGTAAATGACATGGGGACCAGCAGTTAGCGTAATGGCTATGTCGCTAGACTCAAGATCCTGAGAAGAGAACGGAGGAGAAGGAATTGCGGTGTGGCCATCCCCCTCAGGGGTGATCTCTCACTTACTGTCTATCTGTCTCTGTCTGTCTGGTGAGCACATGTGCCCTGTAGCAAAAACCTCTCCAAAAATAAATAAATAAATAAATGACATTTATGGTCAACAAATGTAGATATTGTTTATTTGCAATAATTTCAAAACTTTCTGGATTATAACTAATGCTTCTTTTCACAGCAGTTGTAAGGACATTATCTTCCTTTTTAAGTTTTTTTTTTTTTTTTGAATGTGGTTTTATTTAAAGTAGAAAAACTGACAATAAAACATGGCAATCAATGTATGAGACAGCCAAAAACTGGTAACATGCAGCACCAGCTGACCTTCTCAGCAGCCGTCCCAGCGGGGAATAGGAAATTGATTCTGTCTGTAGCAGCACTGCCCAGTGAATTTCCCTTGACGATTGAAATATTCTATGTTTGTACTGCTCTGTATAGCCAGAGTCACTAACTGCATGTGGCTATTAAGCACTTGAAATGTGGCCAGTGTGACTGAGAACTGAATTTAAAATGTTATTTACGTAGGGACCAGCAGTTGGTGTAATGGCTATGTCGCTGGACTCCTACATAGTCGACCACAGTTTGAGTCCCGGACCTGGCAGCTTAAACTCATGCCAGGCATGTGTGTGTGTGTGCCCACGATCCCGAGGAGAATGGAGGAAAAGGAATTGCAGTGTGGCCATCCCCCCTGGGGATGATTTCTCGCTTTCCATCTCTTTGTCTCTATGTCTCTCTCTGTCTTTCTGGCAAGCGCACATGCCCTATAGCAAAAAAAAAAAAAAAGTTATTTATGTAGCTTAAATTGAAATATACACATGTAGCTATAGGCTATTATATTATAATATTCCAGTTTGAAGGTACCTGTGGAGAGTAAGTTTGACTGTCATTGTTAAAGAGGATCCTTGGACTTGGGAATGCCTTGAGATTAGATCAGAAAAGAAGGAATGGGATGATAATAATTAGCTAGCACTTATCCAAGGCTGTTATAGGACAGGCATTGAACTATAGCTCCTAGGGACTTTCTCATAAGATTTTAATTTTATATGTTCAATAATTCTTTTCTGTTATTAGCATTAAATATTGGCTATATATAGGGTCCAGTATTTTCCTTTAAATTCTGTTTTACAGATGATAAAGTTGAGCTCTAAGAAACCCAAGCAACTCATTCAAAGTCACTCAGCCAGTATGTGGTGGTGCTGGGATCTGCTCAGGCCTCGTAGCATGTGGACTACTGTCCTCCACCTGCCAGTCAGGCCCTGGGGACGCAGGCTGCCTGGGAGCTCCAGGTGGGTGTTTCATGGCCAGGCAGGATGTGCCACCCAGATACACTATTGTGTATGCGACATCATACAGCTGTGACTTCTCAAGCCAGTGGAGTCTCAGAATTTGTTGAGCATTCCTGGCATTTATGTATGTCTTACACTGCCAGATGGTGTGTGTACTTGCGAGAGAGAGAGAGAGAGAGAGAAAGAGAGAGAAGAGAAAATATCCCTCCAAAGGGTCTGGTCACACCACAATTGTTTTTTCACTTCTCCATCTTGTCAGGATTTGGGCAATATGCAATGTTTGCCCGGTATGTTTTTCAAGCCACCAGGACTGGGATTTGAGCTGTGAGGCCAGATGTGTGGGATCCAGCACAACCATAAGGCCACAAGGCTGGCCTGAACATTCCTGGAATTTTACATATTTATTAGTTATCTGGAAGATATCTAATCTGACTGTTTGAGCACAAAAATGACAACAGATTATCCAGAGACCCCAAGCAATAAATGACTTATAGGGAAAAAAGGCTGCTGCTATGTAAGCTGGCTTAAAAATAAGAAATATCTTTCTGGTGGAATTATTAGGTGAACACAAACGTTCACCAGGTCCTAGGATAGGGATGCCTGGGTCTCAGAAACACTGAATCCAAAGGCTAAGGGGTAAGGCCCTGTGCCTGTGTACATAAAATGCTGCCCAGAAAGTGGGGATGTACCATATGGTTAAAGAAAATACTACATTTTACAGTGTGCAATAAACTTAGGAAACTCCTAACCTCCAGGTGTTTTATTACATACAAGTACAAATGGCATCAGGAAGACGCCACATAAGTTGCAGACATCAGAGGCACAATGGGCTCTTATTAATAGCAACTCAGGGGACCAGCAGATGGCATAATGGTTATGTGGCTGGACTCCCACATAGTCGACCGTGGTTTGAGTCCTAGACCCAGCAGCTTAAAACTCATGCCAGGTGCATGTGCATGCATGCCCAAGATCCTGAAAGGAGAATGGACTGCGGTGTGCCCATCCACCCAGGGGGTGTGATTTCTCACTTCTGTCTCTCTGTCTCTCCAGCAAGCACACAAGCTCTATAGCAAAAAAAACTTTCTTAATAAAATAGCGGGACTAGCAGTTGGCATAATGGCTACGTCACTAGACTTCCATGGAGTTGACTACGGTTTGAGTCCTGGACCTGGCGGCTTAAACTCATGCTGGGCGCATGTGCGTGCGTGCCCAAGATCCCAAGAGGAGAAAGGAGGAGAAGGGATTGCAGCGTGACCATCCCCCTTGGGGGTGATTTCTCGCTTTCTGTCTCTCTGTCTCTCTCTGTCTTTCTGGTGTGTGCACGTGCCCTATAGCAAAAACCTCTCCAAAATAAAATAAAATAAAATAGCAACTCAGATGTTTGCAGTAGGAGATTCTGACTTTTTGAGGTTATCGTCACAGAGAAAGAGCAAAACCTCTCTTGGTGATCAGGATAGGCATGGTTCTGACATGGTATGAATTGTGATACTGTCATAACATTAAAGGAAATCTCTGTATGTTGAAACTGGCTAGATACACTCCCAGTGGCTAGTACTTACTCTCTGTAGGTAGTTTACTCTTCCAATAGCACCAATCTTTCTCGTGTAATTCATAAATCCGATGTTGCCTTCAGTGGCGGCATAGAACTCATAAATGTGAATGTCCCCAAATCTCTTAACAAATTCTCTCCACACATCTCCTCGTAAGCCATTGCCCAGTGCCAGTCTCACTTTATGATCACGATCATTGGGTCTCTGTGGTAAGGAGAGAAGGAGATCAGACCAAAACATCTCTGGAAACTGTACTGACAGAGTCATAATTACCTTATTGTATTACACATTTATGTTGGATACAAACTCACCTTAGTGCATGCCTCACCTGCCACTCACACCCATTGTCCCCTACCCCTTTAACATGAGCAGTATGGTCTGACAGGCTTCGATTTTCTCATTTTGATATTTAAGGGGCTACATGAGACAATCTGACAAAATCAGGCATTGACAACATTAAATCCATATCCAATCTGAAGTTAGAATACTGCGTTGATAGCTTTTTCTTTTCTTTTTGCCAGAGGGCACACGTGCTCACCAGGGAGAGACAGGAAGAGGAGAAAGCACTCCCCATCCCACCAGGGAATGGTCGCACTGCAATCTCTTCTCCTCCATGTTTCCCTCCTGTCTGGAGTTTGGGCATGCATGCACATGCACCTGGTGTGTTTCTCAAGCTGCCGGGTGTGGGATTTGAATTGTGTGGTTGACCATGTGGGATCTGGCTGCTTTAACACCAGGCCATGAAGCCAGCCCCAACTTTTTCTTTTTTCTTTTCTTTTCTTTAAGTTTATTTCCTATTTTTGAATGAGAGAGAAACAGAGAGCTAGACAGAGACAGACAGCACACACACACACACACATATGTAAAGACAGACAGACAGCACCCCCAACATGGTCTTGATGCTGCCATCCAACTCCAGCTTCAGTCAGCCCCAGGTCATGGGCAGGGATGTGTCCAGCCTACTCAGGGAGGTCTGTGGGCTTGAACGGGGACCCTTTCCATGTAGGATGGCCTCTCAGAGTGTCATGTTTTACTGCTGTGCCATCGTCTGGTCCCCAGTGGTCTTGACAGTGCTAGAGAATTATCAGTGAATTGTCAGGAAGAAGAGGTCACATGGGAGAGACCAGTCAGAGGCTGACATAATCTATTACCAGCCGGACCCTGGGCAGCATCTCTCATGCTGAAGCAATACTTTTCACTTGACAATAGAAAGGAAAGTCAGGACTACATTTAGAGAGAGAAAGAGAGAGAGAGAGAGAGAGGAGAGAGAGAGAGAGAGAGAGAGAGAGAGAAACTCACTTCTATGAAGTCATCAAGGAGTAATGAGGGAGTGAAGAATCTTAACCATGCCCTCATTTAACAGGTAGACAGAGGTTACAAGACCAGTTAGATTGTCCCCGTGGGATAGAAAGGGGAAAAGAAGGAGGAAGCTGCTTTCCAGTTGCCCCTGGTGGCCTGGGAGGAATATGCTTTGCTATAAATAAAAATCACAAAGGGAAATCTGTTTTGAATGTAAGGGCTGAAAGGAGAGCTTGTGTCAACCAGGAGAGGGCTGGCTGGGACTGGCTGGGACTGGCTGCCTTCCATTCAGCCACCCTCATTTGTGCGGCCCCTACAGATATATCCAAATCAATGGTAGTTTCAATGGTATTTTATATTAATAAGGCAACTTATGTCTTCCAGGAGATCACAGCCTAGTGAAAGAGACAGCTAGATAAACAAGCATAATTGTAGCTTGCAAGTGCTCTTACTCTGTCTGCCATTTATTTGAACAGGAAATGGAATGGAATGGGGTAAAAGTGTTTAGTAAATAGGACTCTATTCTCACAGCCCGTGTTAGTTCTTTGATCAAACAGCAAATGCTTAAATTAGAGCATTTTCTACATTAGGAAATTACACTGTAAAATCACTGTGAAGTGATTTTGGAATGAGCTCCTCTTTGAAGAGAGAAGCTGGCAGTTCCGTGTGAGGGGAAGGGACTTTGATATGGCAATTGAAATTCAAACCGAAACCAGCTTTGGACTGGTTTCTATGCAGGCGTTAAGGGACCAGGAAAGCAGCAAGTATGCATTTAATGTTTAGGTAGCTCGTCAGTCAATACTTAGCTGGCAAAATGCTTTCAGGAGTCCTTACCAGAAGGATGGCCACTGGTTAAAATGGGCCTCCTGAGCAGAGATTGGGAGGCAGAAATGTGTAAAGAAAGACCAGGGGCCAGGACCAGCAGATGGCGTAATGGTTACATCACTGGACTCTCATGTAGTTGACCGTGGTTTGAGTCCTGGACTTGGCAGCTTAAAACTCATGCTAGGTGCACGTGTGTGTGTGCCCCAAATCCCGAGAGGAGAATGGAGGAGAAGGGATTGCAGCATGGCCATCTCCACTGGGGGGTGACTTCTTGCTTTCTGTCTCTCTGGTGAGTGCACACGCCCTATAGCAAAAGTCTCTCTTAAAAAACGAGAGAGAGAGAGACAGACAGACAAACCGACCAGAGATCTTGTGTCAGTGGTTCCTTTAATATTTATTTATTTATTTATCATGTCAGAGGGCCCGTGTGTGCATGAGAGAGAACAATCTCCACTGGGCCTGGTCATGCCACAATCCTTTTACCTCTAAAGTTTGATCTCTTCAGGATCCTGCACATGTGTGTGCACCCACCCAGTATGTTTTTCAAGTCACAGGGCCGGGACTCAAACTCCTGCCATATGCGTTCCGGCTTCCTCTATGCACTGCTCAACTGCTCTGCAACAGAGCCAGTCTTGCCAGTGACTCTTAACCAGAGAGTTCAGGAGAATCATCTGAGAAGCCCTAGACTTTCTGACTGAGCAGGAATCTGTTCTTTTATTGGTTCCCTAGGTCCATGGGTTATGACATCGATTCCCTTTTAGAATGAACAAGTCCACAAACATAGGGAGGCTGTACATCTAGTTAGCCTAGACTAGTCCTGGTTTCTGCCTGTTGTAGGATAATGAATTGTAGGTTCACCTGCCCATAGAGTACTGTTCTGTTCAATAAGGATTGTTAATTTTCAGAGGCTACCCCACCCCTAACACTGCTGCCCTTTGTTGGCACCCCCAAAATAAAAAAAAATCAGAAAGGGGGTCTTCAAAAAGTTCATAGAGAATGGATACTATGAAAAAACTGAATGGATTTCAAAATCTGTTTGTGACAAAATAAAATCATTTTTTAATTTCATTTTTCCACAAACTCTTTGGGGTCTTCTTATATTTGAAGAATATTTACTTTTGCTTAAAAACAATCCCTAGGCCTAGTGCTTACCTGCTTCTCGGCCTGAGTGAGAAGTTCCAAAGTAGCATGTACAACCCGTATCTGCCCTCCTCCCATCCATTTGATTTATTTCATTATCTTGTGGGTGGTGAACATCTGCCTCCTCCATTAGATAGTAAATTTGAGGCCACTTTGTATTATCTCCAGGGCCTGGATCTGAGCTTGGGATATAGCATAATTCCCACAATAAAGTACTGGGTTGATGGAAAAGTCATGACGTGTTTTTCTATGCAACAAATGCATCATGACAACCCAATAAATATCCTTCTCCAGGAAGCCTCCAATTTCCCTATTAAACAGCTAGCGGCTGGGATGTTAGAATAAGAGCAGGGTACAGGAAGCAGCAGGTGCTCTGGGTGTGGGAAGCTGGCCAGCCTCACAGGTGCAGCTGTCACCTGTGGGTGGCAGGTAGCTCATAATCACAATGCCATGGGCTCAATTTTCATCATACAACTGAGAGATCTTATTACACCAGCAGAAGAGATTAAGGTTCTAGTCTGGAAAGGTTGTGGACACAAATGGGAGATCCTGGAGCCTTCTAAGATGTCTGGTTCTCACCTACATGTTTGAAAGTTAAGTCTGACTTGAGTTTTCCTTTCCCATAGTAGAAACAGTTTTTCTCCATCACCAAAGCCGCTCCTCAAAGGAACTGATTGTTAGGTCAAGGGTCACCTGCTCATTTTCTTTAACAAGGATCAAAGCTTCAATTTCACATTACAGCTAAGGTGTAACAGGCAACACACCTGGGGGATTTAAAGCCACACTGATTAAAAAAAATATTTATTAAGATAGATTTTTGCTATAGGGCATGTGTGCTTGCCAGATAGACAGAGAGAAATAGAAAGCAAGAAATCACTCCTTCAGAGGGGATGGCCACACCGTAATCCCTTCTCCTCCGTTCTCCTCTTGGAATTTTGGGCATGCATGCACATGCACCTGGCTTGAGTTTTAAGCTGGTGGGTCAAGGACTTGAACCGTGGTCGACTATGTGGGAGTTCAGAGATTTAACCATTACTCCATCTGCTGGTCCCTCCTGATATTTAATGATCAATGAAGGGTGAGGAGTCAGGATATCCAGGGAAGAATGTAGGGTAGCAAGTAATTAGAGTAAGCATAACATTTTTATTGAGGACTTTTCCATATGTTGAGCACTTAACCTGTATTGTCTCACGTAAGTTTCTGAAGAACCCAACCAAAATATGACAGGTGATGAAATAATCAGGGTCTTCAATAAGTTCATGAAAAATACATATTATGTAATAAATATGTGTGGGTGTCAATGTTTTGCACCAAAATAAGCTTATTTTTTTCTCACAAATATTTTGAAGTCCCTTCATCTTTGTCTCATATTAAAATTGACAAAGGAGAGCCTTAGGAAGCTGAAACTACTTTGCCTAAGATCACACAAGTAGCCAAATGGTTGTTCCAGGATTCAACTCCAAATCTATGTAACTTCAAAGAGCCCTTTTTCTTAATTAAAAACGAAGAAAAAAGAAAGTTACACAGAGTTTAATAATCAAATGGGGGCCGGCAGGTGGCATGGTAGTTAAAGGTGCTAGACTCCGACCTAGCTTACCATGGTTCAATTCCTGGATCTGGAAGCTTACTATCTCATTTTCTCTCTCTCTCTCTCTCTCTCTGGTCAAATAAAAAAATAACAATACTAATAAATACAATAAAGGAAATAATTCTTTGAAAAAACAATCAAATAGGACGGAAAGACTCAAAGAATGTTGTGTTCATTCCACTTATCCATCCCTACCCTTCTACCCCTGCTTACCACCCAGAAGTGAGCACTTTGAACTCCTATAGCTTTTTTGTTCTATATCTGTATTTCTAAATTAAATGTTTATGGTGTTATTCTTAACTCATCTGTTTTCTTTTTTTCCTCACTTTCCAGAGGGAGAAACAGAGAGAGA